GTCTGAGGGAAGATGCCTGCAGACCCTGGTGTGCACAGCAGCTTGAGGAGGTCACTGTGGAAGCTGTGGACTTCAAGCACATGGCAGACAGGCCAAGCAAGGTCCAGCATCCTACAAACAGCATTTCAGCAGGTGTGCTTAGGGGAAGGAAGTGAATAGACCACCAAACCATGTGAACATTTGAAATCACCCTTCTGTATTCATTCTGTGGATACAGATATCCAACAGACCCAGGCTCTCTGGATGGTGGGGCACATAGACCAGCAGTGCCCACACATGCCCCGGGCACAGGGGAGCTGCACATCACTTGGCTCTTCTTTCCACACACAAACCTGATGCTCTCTAGCAGTCCTAGCACTGAGGATGCAGGTGTGCAGAAGCTGGCCACCTCCTTACCTGCCCTTTCTGCTTTTTGCGTGAGCCCTATCAGCTTCTGGAGAGCTAGGTAGTCAGAATCACAATGAATATGGGCAGAACCACATCTGTACCGAGGCTGGGCCTGTCCTATCAGGCAGGTGGATCAACTCCTATTTAAATAAGTACCACTCATGCGCCCAGGCACAAAGCCTCTAGAAGAAGGGGACACAGTACCACCTGCGAGTCAAGCTAGATCTCTTGCAAAGAACACTGAATCTACATCACACATGGGACAGTGCCACTGACCCATGCTGGCAGGGAAGATCTCAAGGTTGCTATGGTCCAGCAGCTTGTTGAAAGTTCCTACACTGGCATGGAGTGAGATCTTCAGCAACAAACCCACACAATCCTACTGCCCCCAGAGTCTGTACTAAGGCAGAAATACCCAGCTCAGCCATGGTGATGGGGAAGGTGGGAAGATGTGCCATAGGCTGCCTACCAAGCAGGAACTATAAGCCACACCAGTCACACTTAGGACTTGGCATTTATGCACACAGATCATTCCCCTTATGGGCTAGCTACTAGCCCCTTTCAGTCTCGTTCCCCAGGCCTAGAGTCTCCAGTTAATGGACTAAGCCACACAGCACAGCACCAACCTGCACTGGTGCCTTTGTGCTTCTAGAATCTTCATCTGCCTCTAGCCCTGGTTAGAACCTGCAGGCTCTGGGTCTTGCCAAATCATGGCGCATTCCCAGGCATGGAGTTAAGGCCCACAAGGTCACCTGCTCCTCACAGGTTTTGTTACAAATCATGTTTGTTGTGTGGTGTTGGCCTAGTTGTTCAATCCCTCGGTTATGTTTTTTTCCCTTGCATGACCGGAAGTTTTCTTGCTAGATTAGGGGAGGGTGGGAAGGCAGGGTGGGTCCTTGTGAGCCACAGGAAGGAAGCTAGATCAGCAGGGACAGACTGGGAGTCCAGGTACTCCTGATGTAAGGAGTGCACTGTCCCATGTGATAGTATGGTACCTCGTCAGTCCTGGCCTGCAGTGCAGGGCAGGGTGAAACAAGCCTTTGCAAGGAAATGCTGAAGACTCAGACATGAGTCCATTTGGGAGGGAGGACAGGCTGCTCTGAAGCCAAGCTCTCTTGCTTTCCTGCACACATGGCAGCCCGGGCAGCAGCTCCTCCACCCACTCGGCAGCAGTGGCTGGGTCTGCACAGGGATGGAAAGCGTGGTGTTAGTGCTGCATGCAAACCCTCAATTATCCCAGTGCACATCTGCAGAACCTGCTCGGCTGGAAACAGACCTCAGCTATTTCTAACTTCCTCAGACCCCTTCCTGCCTGCCTGCCTGCCTGCCTGGAAGTCATGTTCAGGAAAATAAAATAAGCAGAAGTGGCTGGGATAGGATGTGAGTGTGTGCTAAGTCAGCCATGATCACACTGGGCCCAGTGGCTGCATGGGGACAAGGCCCTGGGCCCAGCCTACCGTTTGGTCTGTTTATCTTTCCTCTTGCTCTCTCCCCATCCATCTGTCCAGCAGACTGTTGGTATGACTTGGCCGGCAGATGAAAGATGGCATTAGTGGCACCAGCAGGTTCTGGCACCTCTGTTCCCAAGGGCAGAGAAAAGGCAGAGGTGGATAAGATGGGGGCAAAGCCAGCTTTGGTATACTGGTGACAGACTTCCTGCTGGAAGGCTTGATGGCGCACACTGTCTCTCAGCCCAGGGGCAGGACTGCCAAATCAGCTCAGAGGATCCTTAGCCACAGACAAGTCACAGGAGGACCTGGCACCAAGAAGGTCTGGTAGGGTCATCCAGATGCCCAGTGAGACCATGGTTCTACAGGCCTCTGTAGGGCCTGCACCCTGCATTAGGAAAGGCACAGGACTACAAGGCTGAGGGGGTGGGACCCCAGCTCCTCCTCTGTGAACCCCCGCTGCAGGTCCACTGTGGAAACTACTGTGACAGGCAAGACAGGTGCTCGGGGCATTTGTGGGTCAGGCTGAGGCAGCCAGTAGGGGCCTTCCAGCTCCCATGGTGGGCCTGCTCTCCCAGTGTCTGTCTAGTATGAGGTCCCTATGTGTATTTCCCATGAGTGGTCAAGGAGGGAGGGGCACAGGCCAAGAGGAAATTCTCAGACTCAGGCCCCATTGTCCACAGCCTTGCCCTCTACCAGAACTTAACAAGGAATAAAGTACTAGGATGTCTGGAGGGTCCTGAGACCATTGCATCCTTGCTCCTGAGACAGCCACCACACCCAGTGCCCACCCATGGTCCCAGGAAATGATCTGAAGTAGGTCACTACATGATACATGGGCCTTACCAGGCCACTATTCAATATGGCCCTCATTAGGTCATGCCACAGTCTCCCAAAACTTGTGTACATTCTGAGACCTGTGGAACAACAGCTTGTCAGGGAGACACCAGAGCTGCCACACTGTTTTGTAGCAATCACAGGGGTAGCTGTGGGTCACGTGGGGCCTGAGCTCCTGAGGAGCTACCCAAGCCACTGCCTGAGGGGAGTGTTCACCTGCTGACCCCAGCAGAGTACAGCGGGAGGTCTCTGTGCCCCTCCAGCCATAGTGAAGGAGCCACCTAAGGCTGGAAGGGCTGACGCCTCTGCAGCCTTGGAATAAGTATAGGTCAGATTTTCTGGTCAGGATAGTCTCCAGAGGCACAAACCCACCTTCACAGATGTCAGGGGCACTGTGACTAGACACAGATAGGCAGTCAGTGGACAGTAGAAGCAGTGGAAAAGTGCAACTTAGCTGCCCATGTGGTGAATGTGTCTGGAGGGGTGGGGTCAGTGGCTACTCTTTCTCTCCACCAGATGTGTCCTGTGGAGGGCTTAATCATAATGTGGCCTTCTGCAGGGCCACCTGCTGGTCAGGGCATACAGCTGGCTTCACATATACCTAGGAGGAAACCTCAGGAGGGCTGGAAGAAGGTGGAGGTACACCTGGGTCTGTGAGGACAGGAACTGGTGCAAAGGTGACTTGCTCCCACAGGCATGAGCATAGACATGGTAACCTTGACTATCTACTAGAGGCCAAGTCTCACAAACTATTCTCTTCTTTTGGACTTTCTATATTTTCAACAATCAATAAATACAGAATACTTTAGAAGGCTTTCTGAGGTCTCCCTGGAGGAGGTTTCTGTAAGATCAATCACTGCAGTGAGTTCTGCCTTGTGATCTCCAGCCCTGTCTGATAAGTGACTGTTCCCAAGCACATCTTCATTTACCTAATCTTTTTCCAAGAACAGGACTTCTACAGTACATCAAATTAAACACCCATCAGTGATCCTGAGGTGTTCAAAAGTACACAGAATTATACAAAAGTGAAGAAATACACTTCTGATAGCCTATTTGTTTAAAGGCTTTGGGCATCTGAATATTTATTTACTTACTCAAAGCTTTCAGGATTTCAGGAAGCGTAAAAATGGATGAACGTAATATGACATCTAGAGAATTTACAGGATGTGCTGAGAAACAGCAGGACAGTGGACACCATGCCTGAGGCACTGTTCTGGCCACAAAGACAGGGGAGATTGTGCATGAGGGGACAGATGGGACAGGAACAAGGAAAGCAAGCCACTGGTCTGAATAAAATGAAACCAGGGAGCCATTGTTCACTTTTTGTTAAACGCTGCTTGAATTTCTGTAGGTCACACCAGGGATAGCTAGCAGATAAAAGTGAAAGTTGGCCCCTTTTCTGTGAAGAGACTGCTGGGAGCTAAGGTGGCTCATGAATATCTGCAGCTGGCCAGTCCTAAGAGGGGCTACAGCTCTGTCTCAGCCTCCTATAATAAGTGCTGGATCAACCCTTCCTGATAGGCACTCAACACCTCCACCCCAAGATAGGAGCACAACACCATCTTCACCAGTCATGAATAAGCCAGTCACCCCAGATTTCCAGCGGCCTGATGCCCATGCAAGGCCACCAACCTACTGTCCATGTGACTGCTCCTTCTGTTGCTGGAACTGCCCACCATGAGGACTCCTTGACCCCATGTCTCTAGAAGTACAAGGCTGGCCACAGCTCATCCACAATGCAAGTGAGCCACACTGCTCTGGCCATAGTGAGGTCCCTCCTTAGGTGCCTCTGGCCTCACCTGTCTGTCATGGGCTGGTACTCCACGTAGCTCATATAAGGCAGCAGTTCTACTCAGTGCCTAGCCCTCTTGCCTCAGGGACTCTCTGGCTGCCTGTGGAGTTGGCCCTGGCTCTTCCAGTCAACTTTAAAGATTGACACCTTTGGCCAAGTCACTTGTCAGCAAAGACATGCACCTGGCTTTTCCCTTCCAGTGGCTATGAGAGGGTCTAGGTCTGACAGCTCTGAAGGTACCCATCCCTGCTCTTCTGTAACTTTAGTCCTTTAGGTGGTGACATATACCACGATGCCCCCAACCTGCAGAGACAATACATGGTTGACATAATGCAGATGCATGATATGAAAAAGCGAGAGGGACAAGTCAAAACTAGAGTCAAAGGCCTAAGTGGCCCAGTGCCCCCTTCTGTCCTAGCAAAACCAGGCCTTGCTGACACTAGACTGGCTAAGCTGAAAGGTGCCATTCATTATACCTGATTAGAAGGGAAATGTGAGCTTGGTGACAGCAGTTGTGGCCATGCTACAGAGCCTACCTTGAAGACGAGGCAGTCTGTCTTGTGCTCTGCATACTGAGAGGTCAGCCGGTACTGGCCCGCCGTGGTTACATCTACCTGATAGCCCGTCAGTGTGTAGCAGGCCTTGCGGAATTCCTGGATCTTGGTCTGGAAAACCTCCTTGAGCCTTTGGTTCTTCAGCTCAGCACTCTCCACCTGCTTCCGCAGCTCTGTAGGGAGAGGACAGGAGATTGTGAGCTCATCACCAAGATGCTGTGACCCAGAGCAGGGGCCAGACATAGACACGGAGGAGAGCCAGGTAGCAAGAACAAGCCACACCCTCACCCAAGTCCCAGCGCCTGGAGATGACTGAGGAAGCACTGCATCTGCGGGCCCGGATCTGGCCACTCAGAAGACTTGGAATGAAAAGGACAAGCTGATAAGCAGTGTGACCTTCTGGTGGCAGTGATAATAAAGTTACTGTATTAACAACAGTAACTTGAAAGAAAACAGAGACTCTGCAAAAGACAGATGTTGGAGCCAGATACCCCAGGCTCCCAGCTTTGAATTCTATGCCAACCTGGAGGGGTTTTTTTTGGAAACTAGTTCTCAGCAATGACCAAGAGCAACACAAAAGGCACTCCAGGTCACTGTTAGGAGGGAGGTGACTGGTCTTTACAGGTCAGCAGAGTCCAGGTCAGGCTGCTCTGGAGGCACAGCACTACGAATGACGGTCTGGAGTGGAAGGCTTGGATGTGCAGAGGCACAGTGGACCTGGCTAAGCTTGATCACTCCCAGGCTGCAGCCTGAGACCCTGTAGGGCTGGGCACCTACCCCTATGAGCTAGAACAGCATCAGCATAGTGGGATTGGAGAGACAGGGAGATGGATGGAAACCATCATTTTACTTCAAGGCCACTGTGAGGAGGGTGTCCCCCCAGATGTGTTAAAGGACTACAGATGAGCTGGGAGATGCCCGCCAGCCCCACTGGGAACCCAGTTCACATATCTTTCAGGATAGATCACCCCCCTTCCTGTCCATTGTGGTTTACTGCCACTCGGGGAGAAACCAGCTGTGCAAAGCCACCAGGAGGATGCACGATTATCATGAATCTTTCACTGAAGGTGCCTTCCGAGTAATTAAACCTTGATTTATCCCCCTCGTTAATTACTGAGCCTGGCTCCACTTAAACATGCACAGAGCTGCCTCCTGAGCTGGGTGCTTTCTGGAGGTCTTGCCTGGAACTCAGGAAAGTTTCTTGAAGGGTTTGGGTCTGCTGCAGTGGGGATAAGGGAGAGGATGTGAAAGGTTGGTGCCCAACTGGCCATGAAGGTGATGGACAAATCTCATCCTGCCAGCCAGACCTGGGTGAACCCTATCTTGCCTGAAAGGTGAACTACTAGCTGCTAGCCTTCCTCTGCTGTGATACCGGACAAGGGACAGGATGGTGTCTGCCTGGCTGGGAAGGGTGTGCATGTATGAAGTTAACACGCGCAATGATGCTTTGGTCAGGGGGCACAGAGCTTCTCTGAGTCATAGTGAGCTCGGAGGCCAATTTGCTCCATGGTCCAGGTCCAGCACAGAGGCTCTGCTTGGCTGCCTACAGTAGTGGAGCAAAACATCTGGACACAGGCCCTGGGGCACAATGGGCCTAGGTGGCTTTCTGGAAAGCTGGGTAGGGGTGGGGGTATCCATCTTCCATAGGGGCCAAGTGGGAACCAAAAGCCCTTGAGGAAGACGTGGGGAAGTCTGGGCTCCAATGTGATCCTGCCATCTTCACATCCTCACCTAACTGCAGGGTGACAGGGCCCTGGCTGTCTTCAGACTCCATCTTGAGGATCTAATCAACAGCTAGGAGGCTAGTTGCATATTGAGGGCTGTACTGTGAACAACTACATGGATGGTACAAGCCCAGCCCCCTATCACACATACACATTTACTTCACAGCCATATCACCAAGATGTAGTGATGAGCCCATTCCCCACTTCACAAATGAAGCATCTGAGGCTTACAATGCAAACCCTCCTGATTATAGGGGTGAAGTGCTCAGGCAGGGCTGTTCCTGCCCTCACTGTCAATCACACTGCAGAACATTCAAGAACCACATTGAGCAAGGTGTCCTGAAGCTGGGAGGAGACAGCCTGAAAAAAACCAGCTTGTCAGAGGGTTGCATAGCAATGTCCAGCTGTGGGGCTGTGGCTGCATGGCCACTGGTCCTGTCCTGGCTGCTCCTGAATTTACTATCTTATATGCAGCCGAGAGCCCGTCCAGTGGGAAGCGGGCCAGAGTCCTTGATTAATGGAGTAATCAGACTTTGGAATCAAAAGGTTAACTGGCAGTCCTGACCTGTATTCATCCTGCGTCTCAGGATGGAGCCCCAGCAGGAGGAAGCCTACGCCACACAGAGGGAGAAACTCACAGTCCACACTTCAGGGGTGATATTTTAGTCCTGCCAGGATCTCCTGCCTTTGATATATCACACATGTCTAGGGGAAAAATGAAACCTCGGCAATAACACAACCTGACCTTGGAGAAGGAAATGGGCCCCATTTGTGCAGTTCACTGGCCTGGGAAGCAGGTGAAGCTCAGGTCTGCAGGAGCATGCCTACAGTTGGTCAGTGTGCACTTTGTGGGGAGGACATGGTGCTGCTGGCTATGTGCCAGGTACCTGTGAGCCCCAAGAGCCTCTGGCCCTTGGCAGCTTGGAGGGGAAGCAGCTTCCTCCAGGAAAGTGGGGGCCAAAGTATGTGTGTGCATGTGGTTTCACAAAATTCATCCAGGGAGGGAGACCAGTCAACAATCGCTCCATTTAGGGCACTGGAAAGTCGATGTGTTGCTCTCTAGTACTCTTGTAGTTCAATGGCTTACATAAATGGAGATGAATAATTCACATGACAGTTTGGATTAAATAAATAAAAGATGGGGTTCCCACCTTGGAAACGTCACTGATTTCTCGCTAGAGGCTCTCATGTAGTCTCTTCTTGAGTCATCAGGAGTGGAGGCTGCCCAGAGCTCTGAGGTGACTGCTCTCGGCCCTGATGAGGCATTCCATTGGGCGGCTGGTACTCACAGGCAGAGTTAGTGGCCCAGGGGTAAGCTGCCAGCCTCTGGCCTTGCCTGCTGTGGTAGGACCAGCTGCCTGTTGCAGCATGTGTGGCATTAAGGACAGCAGGGGACCAAAACCACCACAGGAAAGGGCAACCTGGTTTGCAGAACCCTTTTCAGGTCCAGCCCCAGCCCACATCCGCAGTCTGTAAGGAGCCCACTGAGGCTCTTTGAGCTCTGGCTCAAGCCCTTGCCAAGGTGACTGGGAGAAATGGCCCCAGACTGCTGTTGTCTTCTAGCCCTAGACACTGCCTCTTGACAGTGCCTCTGCCACTTCCAGACCCCAGCCTGCCCCAGGAGGGCTTGCCCACTCCTTCTTCTCTTACAGCCCTTTTCAGGGATAGGCCTGGCTCTGGGTGGTCCTCTTGGAGAGAACAGCAGAGGCAAGAGCATGGTGGTTGATGAGTGGGGCCAAAGGGAGGGATGTGATTGTTTGTGCAAAAGCCCAGAGAATGGTCGCTGCTGTGATGACTGGGTGAGTTGCAAGAGGTCCTGGAACAGGCCAGGCTTGGTTCCCAGCTCTTCCCTCCAAGCTCAGCATTCTGCCACTGGCTGCCCCAGCCACGTCCTGGGGGGCTGCAGGACAGCTTTGACCTGATACTCCTCCCCCATCTTAGCCCAACACCTGGCCCCTCCTGGAATTGTAGAAAGCAACTGTGAAAATTCTATGGGAAGGACACAGGACAAAAATAACCTGCACTTTGCCAGATAAAGGCTGGCAAAGACAAGCACACCTGCTCCTAAGAGCAGAGATGCTGGGATAAAGGAGCACTTATGGTTCAATTCTCTGGAGACCTAGCTCAGCCTGAAATCTGGAGTCTGGCTGATTTTGGCAGGGCGGTGGAGCAAGTGTGAGGCAGGCAGATACTGAGACACTGAGACACTGAGATACCGAGACAGGGGGGAGAGACTAGGGAGAAGACGGCCACAGATATGCAGAAGGGCAGGGGCAGGTATGGCATCTTGTACCCTCTGGCTGCCACGAGGCTCTGCCCCCTATACCCCTGGGCCATACCAGCATTGGCCTTCCAGCTCTCACCAAACCCACAGGAGGTAGGACAATTCTGCACTAGTTTCCCTTAGGAGAGAAGCATAAAACCTCCAGAGAAAACATACAAAATTCCCAAGGCCCTGGAAGGCCAAGCAGGACTCTGTTCTCAACAGTCCTTGGAGACAGACCAGCCAGAGTCCCCATCTGAAATGGTAGAGCCACTCTGGTGCCAGGTGAGGGTGGATAGAACAAGAGGCATCTCCAAACATTCCAGACCTTTTTAAGCTTCTGCTCAATGAAGATGCAAGGTGGAGCGGGCAGGACATAGGCAGGCAGCAGGGGGACAATGAGGCACCTGCAAGTGGGACAGTGAGGAAGTGCAGGACAGCAGGAGGCCATACAGTTCCTATCAACAGAGCAGGAGCTATTTAGACCCTGGAGACAGGGCCCCAAGGGGGCCCAGCCAAGAAGAATCCAGGGCAAAGCTGACAGATGGCTGCTGTGTCTTGAAGCACTGAGCAGAATCTGACAGCTTCTCCAGAGAGTTCCAGAAGGAGTCAAGACACACCAACATGCAAACCCAAGTCAAGGGAAGAATGCAGCATGTTATCAGTGAAGCCTTCCCTCTGTCCCTCACAGGAAAGACACCAGGACACCCACAGGACACAGTGCTCACTCACCAAATCACAGCAGCAAAGTCACAACACTGACAAACCAAAGCTGTGCTGTGGGCTGTGGAGATGGATACACATGCGTGTTCCTGAGTATACACATGTGTGCACATATGTGTACATGCTCACTTCTGCAGAGAAGCCAGAGAGCCCATGTGGGCTTGCTGAGAATTGGGGACCTGGCCCTGGAAATACAAGGCTTATCATGTATTCATACCTCCTACCCTTCCCCCCTTAACCTGGACATGCCAGGGAAAGGAAACCAAAGAAGGGTGTGGAGTGGCAGGGCTGCTGACCCTGAGCAGCTCCCTGTTAGAAGCTGGAAGCAGCTTTTGAAATGTTCCTTTAGAGGTTTGGGATAAAGCCATTTTTCTTTCTGAAAAGTGAACAAAATCCACTTAACCAAGGCAGGGATTTTCAGGTTTTAAGACAGCCACAAGCAGGACTAATACTTCACCATCCA